AGTACTAAGTACTATATGCAAACCTTCGCTCGCTGTATATGCTGGATGTGGTAAATCTGGTTTTGTAAATTTGCATTCGGAGATGTTAATAAAAAGCTAATAATATTTACTTTTAATTTGAAGCATTTTACTTCATACATGATAATAAAATAATGTTAAATTCAATATATATATATATACAACATACAATTTGCTAACCCAAAATTCCTATATACACAACACAATTCAATAAAACAGAAATTAGATTTTTACCAAGTAAATATCCAGGTCGTCCAATCACCAAATAATTTCCAACCACTATTATTACCAGTTACCAAAGAAGTATCCATAACAAATAGGAAAGCATCAGTAGCACCATCAGGACGAATTTTAAATATTTTATCAAAAGAATCTTCCTTAGGTTTTTAAATCTACAAGTTCTGAAGTTTCATTGTAAACTTTAAATGTATACTCCTTTTCATCTACTTCAATAAATCCACTACTAAATTGTTCAACTATTATCGTTTTATTTGAAGGTGTTTCCCAAAAAACAATTGCACTGTTTGTCACATCAGGTGGATCATTTAATTTTACATAGGCTCGTTTTGATATTGGTAGTGGTGGAGGACGAGGTGATGGAAGATGATGGAGACGTTTATCTTTATGGGACACAGAAATGAAATCATCTAATAACAAAAGAGTGAATCTTTAAATTCAGAGTCTTGATGCACAAATAACGGAGTACAGAACGTGCAAATTGAAAGTAATAATAAGGTGAATACGAAAAAAATTGATGTGTGGTTCCTCAACATTTTTACAAAATTCACTCGTCAATTAATAGCCAATTCGTAATTTAAATCCTATAGCGTTAGTTGATGAAAAAATTTTTGTTGGTCAATTAGTTACACCAAGATATCCATATTAAAATTATAAAGTACAGTATTGATAATTTTTGGTGGGAAAAGAAGGTACCATCTCTAAAAAGGGCCAAACTATTTCAAAAGTTCCTTGATGAAGCTGTATTTTTGAAATAAAAGCAAGATTATGTGCAAATGCAAGTAGGCGACACTGCTTTAGCGTATCGATTAGTCCCGGTGAAATAATAGAAACGTTAACATTGTGTTTTTTTGCCAGTACCGAAAATGACGAGAAAATGAAAGTTATCATATTGTGATATATCAATTGAGGAATTGGCGGATGACCAACTGTAGAATTAATTGCTTATATCAAAAAAAAGTTTTCTTAAATTTCAGGTAATTTTAGCAAATATGACATTAATGTTAAGCGTAGTGAACTTATTCACAATTTGACCTTTGCATTCTCTTATATGTGAAAATAATAACACCTTTTATTTGTTCAAACATGTCTTCCCAACGAGTTTTAACATCTTTAACGATGTTATTTTTGCTAAAAAGTGTAAAAAAAAATTAGACAAGTGACAAAGGACTTTTAAACAGATCACTACCTACAAGGATTAGCAATTAATAAATCTCTGTGCTTCTTAATAATTAATTCCAAATTGGAAATATCGCAATGTAATCTTAAAGCGTCTGCTTCCCTTTTATTACATACAGTTTAATTTGTTTGCAAAAAATCACACAATCAATATATAAACTACGAAATCTGCACTCATTTATTCATTCATACATTCATATACGAACTCAAACCGATTTATTTATGAAATTGCATTTTGCGTATTGATAAAAAGTTTTCCCTGCTAAATTGATTTTTTTTGACAAAAAAATTTTTTTAATAGTTTTGCGATAAGATCACATAATGCATGTGTAATGTCTAGTTAACCCTACTCAATTTTGTTGTATCGTTGTGGTCGTGTATGTGCCGGTTTTTTGCTATTTATGGCTTGCAGTG